CAGAAAAATCGAAATTAAGAAAAACACAAAATAAACGATAAAATAAACTAAAACTCAACTACACGACTCAAAATGGGGGAAAAAGAAAGACAAAAAGATGACAAAAAACGCAACAAAAATGGGACAAACACCAAGCAACTGGGTAATTTTTCCATTCCCAATGCATACAATCAAGGCTTCCAAGCATACCCGAAAAATCATGATTTTCTTCATGCATTTGGAGGAGTCTTTGAACATCACTATTGTTCGGTCTTCTCAAATATTCATTACCGAAAATTTCAACCACACTTTCACAAAATTTAAAAAGACATTTGATAGCAGTTGACTCACCCATACGTGAATACTCATCAAGGTGGTCAGTTGGGACTCCATAAGCCAATTGACGAATGGCTGCTGTGCATTTTTGAAGTGGTGACAAACTTTGTCTTCCTGCTGCATCAGTGTTTTGCTGGAAGTATGATGAACGTGTCTGAAGTGCATTCACAATTCGAAGGAATAATTCTCTTCGCATGCGGAAACGCCTACGAAATATATGATCCGGGTAGACTGGATGGTCAGAGTAATAATCACTTACAAGTCTGTTATGCCCATCTTCTCGATTTTTCTGGATGAACCTTCTTCTTCTATGAACTTCAATTTCATGTTGGTATGCTTGAAGTAACTCGTGGTTTCATTGAACGATTGATGAAATCATTTCAACTTCTAAATCGTTAGTGTCATCACCATCTTCACTATCGGTGGATGATGATGAATTGGACTCGGATCTATATGAATTTTGAGACATTTTTTTAGGATTCTAATTGAATTGAAGTGTGTAACTATGATTTGAAGAACGAGAAAAAATATGTGAGTTTGCTTTGAATATATAGACATCAATGTATATGTATATTGACCATTAGTTGAGTTATCAAAATGATAAGTGTGCCACAACCCATGCCTTATCTTCTGACATGTTTATTTGTGCCAGCAAATTGATTAACTTTTCATACCCATATCTTATCTTCTGACATATTTATTCTGACCAGCAAATTGATTATTATATACAACTATGGAGTATAGCTGTCATTCATGACCCATACTTTATTTTCTGACATATTAATTGGGTCATCAAATTGATAAGCGTGTCACAACCCATGCCTTATCTTCTGACATGTTTTTTTTTTTAGCCAACAAATCGATTAAGTTTTGATAGCCATATCTTATCTTCTGACATATTTATTTTGACCAGCAAATTGATAATTATAGATAACTATTGCATATAGATGTCATTCATGACCCATAATTTATTTTTCTGACACATTAATTGAGTTATCAAATTGATAAACGTGCCACAACTCATGCCTTATCTTATGACATTCTTATTTGTGTCAGGAAATCGATTAACTTTTCAGAGTCATATCTTATCTTCTGATATTTATTTTGACCAACAAGTTGATTAGTCATATTGTTTAACAGACAATACATTTGTCAAATAGTAAGAACAATTTAAGTGGAAAGACATACTACAAATTTAATTTCGAACAAGAACAATATAATGAAAGACTGACTAACAATTTAACAAGAACAAGAACAACTTAAATGAAATACAAGCTAAAAGTTGAATACCTCCAATCAAAATATACAGAAATACAAAGATGATTAAACACAGATAATACAACATCTAAAAGTTCCACCTCTCTCGAATTACTTAACACATTTTTTCATGAGAAATACGTTGCTCTTGGGTTATGTGGCTTGTATCCTTCATTAAAATATCATAGTCTTTCCGACGATTTCTCTGCTTCTTCTCCTCAAGAGTAGCTTTTTTAACTTCAACTTCAGCTTTTTTCAAGCTAGTTAGCTCAGCAAGATGCTTAACCATGTTGTTGTATTCTGTGGCCATCTCATCAAGGTTAGATTTGACTTTGCCTTTGGCCTTTCGTTTGGCTGCCTTCTGCCCGATGGGGCGAGCCACTTCATGAATATCATCTAAGTCAATGTTTGCATCCCCCTTTGATGAAGTATTGCTGGCACCAAACTCATCAATTCTCGTCTTTTTTCTCTCAACAAAAATATCATTAGAACACTGTAGGGTGTACATAGGACGATCTTTAAGGATTTTTCATACATGCTCAAGATTGAAGGCTACACCATCATTCTCAATACGATATTTTTCGTAAGTCCGACTTAATATATCCTCATCACTACAACCACTTCGATAAACATTGTAAATACTGTTGTAGCACTCATTGAATCGATACACCTTTTTTTGAATCGTATTATGCCAGTGCGATCTTATTATATTAGCATTTCTGTGAATATAGACAGAAGGTGTATTTTGGTTATAATAATTTGTAACACGTACCCAAAACGCTTCGGCCTTCTGATCATTACCGGTAACTGGATTGTCACTTATTGTCACATAAGCTTTCGCTAATTGCACATCCTCCTCCTTTGTCAATTGTGGACGTTTTTTCCTGCCTTCAGCAGCAATACGTGTATTTTTTGGGATTTCAACATTAATAGTTGCTGCACGATCCTGGAATTGTGTTTCTGGAACGTAAGTTTGAGTATCGAGCTCTTTCCTCATTTGGGATCCGGAAGATTGACTCGATTGTTGCGGAGAAGATTGCACCGGATTTTTTGACTACTCATGTATTGCCAATATTCAGGCGGCGGGTTTTGAAATAAAACTTGTGGAGGATATTGTGAATATTGAATATTGGTGGAATTTGGATAATTTTGGGATTGTTGTTGCATAAAAGGAAAATTTGACGGGAATTGTAGAAAAAATTGTGCAGGATAAGAGTTTATGAAAATGGTAAATTTGGCGGAGTTTGTAAATTTTGGAAGAATGGAATTTCATCTGGATAGGATTAGAACTTGAGAAATTTTGAAAATTT